AAACTGCGAAACAAACTCCTCGTGTACTTTGTCACAGTGGCAAAGCACAAATTTTAAACTAAAAGTGTACAGTGTCAAACGCGCACAACGCATATATTTCACGGAATCATATCAGCATCAACGAGACCGAACCATAGACAATAATAAACAATTTTGTTGTCTCTTCTCGCTTTTCTTCGTCGTCGTCGTCGTCGTTTTTTCTATTCTGTTGCTCTGTGATGCTTATTCTGCTGACAAGCGATTGCCGGCTGAAAATAGCCACGATGCATGAAATGTGGAAGTGAAAGCGCTGAGACACGCACGCAAACACACAACTCTCATTCCCACTTTTCTCCAGAGCATGTTATTAAAAAGTTCGTTTAAAATTTTCGTGTCCGTTGACTGTGCTGAGCTATGTATATGTGTATGTGTATGTGTTTGTGTCTTTTGGTGTTTGGCGAACGGAACGCTACAATTTATATAATTTATTAAAATGCCTTGTACTATCAACAAGCAGGATGTGAGCGAACGAGAAAACGCGCGCGCGCCCGCCCGTACAACAGGGTGCGACACAATGAATGTTAGTTCACACAACATGGCAACAAACAAACTCGTAAATACTGACAATACAACACCGAGAGATGCTGCTGAGCGAGTGTTGATAAGCGTTAGTCGATGGAATACACAAGCCCTGCCGCCTCATTTTTGCGTGAAAATTGTTCATTTTGATCTCATATTTTGTAATTTGTTGAATCCAAAGGCATTTGCATATATAATGTTCATTGAACTAGAGATAATTTCTGACGTTGACTAAACTTTTGAACGGTGGGAAGGAGGGATTTGCGTACAACTTCTTCTTCTTTCTAAATCTGATCTCCTGCTTGCTCGTTTTGGTGTAAAATTTAAACCGATTCCAGTGGAAAACACTTTCAGGAACGAGTCAACGATTGAGTGTTGATTTCGAGAAAGTATCAACGAGAAAAAGTGGCCGTCTGATATGGAATGCGTGAGCGCTCGCATGCACACGCGTGCGTCTGTGTTCAATTTTAAGCAGAAAAACCTCATTTGCTCATGGACGCGCATGAAATTCCATGTCAGGTCAACCAAATTAAAGTATGATTTTCATTTCGTTTATTTTTTTTTTATCGTAAAATGTAAAAAAGGTCGCTTTTACCCCGTTCATTTCGAAAATATGTCGAAGTTTCATTTCAGGTGTGCTCATTGTGTTAAATGAGTTTTAAAGTTTTGCATTTAAACTGGAATTGCAAGTATAAAACTAACAATGATGCTGACTTTGTGAAAATGCACATACACACATTCCCTTGATTTTTGAGATGGCTTGTTTTTTTTCGCTCTATTCGTTCTATGTCGGTTTTGATGCCTGCCGTTGGTGCTTCTGCTTCTGCTTTTGCTGCTACTCTCTCATGTTTTGTTCGTCTTCCGCATCAGCTTTTTAAATTGGCAAAAATGTGATTACAAAGGAACAAATGCTGAATTCACTTAGCGAGAGAGCACAAAATGCCATCAAATAAACAGCCAACTCAACTGAATAACGAATCAGATTTTGCAAAACGGAGTGTCACAAGCAAAATGCAACATTATATAATACGACAAAACGCTAAAAGTCGAACAAGCCCCGAAATATAGAATGTCGGCAAACTGCTAACAAGTAAAAGATAGAGAGTGAAAAAAAAAACACAAGAATGAAATAGAACGAAGGCACATAGATAGCTGCAAACATTTTGCATCAGGCAAAAGTGCAATAAAATTATATCAACTTCAATTTTATAGAAATTATTTTTTTTTTGCCTTCCGGCTGCTGTTATTGTTGTTCCTGTTCCTGATGCTGCTGTTGTCGTTGTCTGTGAAACGAGCAGGCTCTTTCTCTCATGCATCTCGTTCTTCAGTGACTTTATAGATGTGACATTTTTGGTTTTTCTACCGGCAACACATTCGCTTGGTTCTCACATTTAACATTTATCTCAACGTTTGCATAAATGGGTATTCGATGCAATGTGTGTGTTCGTGTCTCAGAGCTTGAAGTTGCTGTATATGCATGGAACCCAATTGCTCCAAATATTTCCGAGAACGCAACCCTGTCTCGCTCACTCTAACTTGCACTCTCTGCATGCATCTTGATATCTGCTGCACACACAGAAAAGAATCCCCGGAAATTTTAGGTGTTCGCCGTAAAATTTGACATTTATATATAAATTTCTATGTACATTTTACCGGCAACACTTGAATTTTCCGGGCGATGACATAATTTCAAATATTCCAACAGAAATTAGCGCCATCTGTCATTTCAAGCGGTAAAATATATATAGTATTTGATAAAATGTTCGAAAATATGTCATCGCCCGGAAAATTGAAGTGTTGCCGGTAAAAGGTATATAGAAATTTATATATAAATGTCAAATTTTACGGCGAACACCCAAAATTTCCGGGGATTCTTTTCTGTGTGCACACATCGAATAAGATATGCAGCTGTGAGTACATATTGCTTTTCCTCACATTTTCATATGGCAATTTAAAGTCGTTATATCATGACTTTTCTTTCTGTGTATTTCGTTAAGTGCATGCAATTCCATGAATTTGATAATAAATTATGTTATTTAATTAACATGAATGTCGCATTTTCAAGCGATCAAGCGGCCGGTAGAAAAAAAAAATTCGTCAACACACTAGCTGAAATGGTAGCATCTCCGAAAATTGAATTAGAAATATGGTCATCAAGTCAAACCAATGTGAGACGACCGCAATAATGAAATTATATTGGTGTAGTCATTTTTGCATAACCGAGATTGTGCTAACTAGTCAAAATTAGTATATCAATTAACAAAATGATTCTTCGAAAATAAAATAATGAACAAATGACGGATACGAAAATAGTTTTGCGTACTAATTCAATGTGGAAAATGATCAAAGGCGAGAAAGTTATGATAATCAGAACTCGTTTGCAAACACATACACACACGCGCACACCTTCCGATTGAGAATTCTTCGAACAATTGATTAGTCGAAACCCAGTTCGTGATTTACCGTGTTTTTTTCTCTACTCATTCGCTTTGAAAGCCGAACCCGATCCAATACTTGAAATGTTTACTATCGAATGTAAAATCGCAAAAGGGTCGTCGCCTGCAAAAACTTTTAGCTACACTAATTTATGATTGTGATGTCAATGGGCATAGGTACAGCCAAAAATCTCAAATTTTCACAACAAACAAAATAAATTCCATTTTTGCAACATCGTTCTTTCTTGCTCTTTCGGTGTGCTCTTTTGTTTTTCAGAGGAGATGCAGTGAGCGAGAGAAGTTTTTCGGGCGGTACGTGTGCTGGCTCGTTTGTTGTCGGTTTTGCTCAAAAAGTTTTTGCAAAGGTAAAGAGAGCGAGAGAGAGAGAGAGAGAGAGAGAGAGAGAGAGAGAGAGAGAGAGAGAGCCAGTTTTGAGTCTGAGCCACTAGACAAAACAATATATAATTTTTTAAAGAAATATTGGACAATTAACACCACTGAGCAAAATGAAAAAGAACAGCAATAGCGAGACCAATAGAGAGAAAGAAGGCACAAGCGTACAAACTTTATCATCAAAAGCAGTTAAAGTGTCCAGTAGTTTGCAATTGCTCCCTGGATTTAACTCACCATTTTTCGAATCGCAAAAATATTCGCTGTGTTTAAATGTTTCGTCTTTGTTTCTTATGTTATTTTCACTCCTCCCTCTCTTTCTCCCCCTCTCGCTGGCTTGCTGATGTAATTTTTGTTCTTCAAATGCCGACAAAATACAAGGCTTACATTTACTTTTTGCTTCGCTTCGGTCGGTTCTTAATTTATAACTTTGAACGTAGACAGGCGTTTGCAAACATTGAAACGACACACACCAATTGACAAAAATTTATTTTGCAACGCGACTGGGAACAAACTTTTCACCGCTATCCCATCACCGGGAGCTTTCTGCCTCTTTCTGTCTCTCTCATTCTCGCCTTCGCCCCGCTACGCTTCAACTTACTCTTCGTTAACTTCTGCCATGTATATGTTATACTGAAAATGCTTCTTGAATTTCACACAGTATCAAGTCAAAAACACAATGGCCATTAACGCTCGCTATAGTTATTTATAAGTATTTGGTTGTATTATTTGTTGCTGTGTTTTTCAACCATTTCACGACGAACAGAAACCGTTTTCGATGTGTTTACATTGAATATGGAGCAATATTTGTGTGCTCCATGCCGAGCGTAAGCTTTGTGTGATTTAATTCGGTTGAAATTTTAAACCTTGATTTCTGGTTGAGTTTTGAGAACGAACAACGACTCTCTTTCTCTTTCTGTGTGTGTATGTCTAGTTCTGTATCTCCTTTTCTCTTCTGTTTAGTCCTCCTGGTAAAGCATAAGGTTTACAAAACCTTGGCAAGGAAATCACAATAAAATCGAACATGACTCTGAGCAGCAAATTGAACTTTACTTCCATTTTACTCTGTCTGTTTGTCTCTCTCTCGCTCGCTATAAAACCCCACTCACTCATACGGTACGAATGTGTTTTTTTCATATGGAGCCCAGAGTTTATGTATGTGTACGTTGCTCTGCGTGTGCATATTGTGCAATCGATTTAAACCACTCAAATGTATATTTTGGCAAAACCAATCTGTATTTGCGTTTGCCAAAAATGAAAACTTTCCGTACGCAAACACACACACACACACACAACCCGGAAAAAAAGCCGAACGAAAAACTTGTGTTTTTTTTTACTATCAGAAACTTATCTGAGATTTCCGAAAGCAACATGACATCAACTGATTCATGTATTTAATCATGTATTCATTCCATTAAAACTATTATTCACTTTTCTATCTCGATCTGTTCTGGATTCGTGCATTTTATTTATTAAATTCGTTTGGGCTATATGTTGTATAACTTTAACTCAATTATTTACTCTCTGTCTCCTGTATCACCAAATCTCATGTTTCTCTTTCGATTCATTTCATTCTTTTCTCCATTTTCTTTCATTTTGTTTCATTCAAAATTATAGCATATCTAAGCGGGGAACCGGTTCATCGGAGGAGCTGCTCATAAGTATGCCGTCATTAGAACTATCTAAATACTAAACAAATAGGAATGATGCCAAAGGCGTGTACACATTTCCAAATCTTCTGTCTCCATCTTTCTAGCGATTGTCATCTGTGTGACCCGAATTAAAGGACGACAACGGTGATCATCATTGCTGCATATGAGGTATACATATTTTAATCGAATAATTTCTCGTTTAAGATCGAACAAAAAAGTACAAGTGATTCGTACACACACGACACGAAAAAAGAAACTTGATAATGGGCTGAACAATGATATTTTCAATGGTGACGATAAAATGCGGAGATCTGCATCAATTTTTTTTCTTCTTCTTCTACTTTAATGATTGGATGAGTGACGTTGTCCATGTGATATCTTTGTTCGCCCATAAGGTCCCTTATAAATTTCAAAATGTCCAATTATTACATTCGATTCACGCCATTTTACGATTTAATACAGCATTCTCATTCTTCCCTAATTGTTTGCCTGAAATCATCTTTTCGATCGAACCATTTGGTCAACTTTTGATTAAAGAAAAATTAAATGCTTCAAATGTGAGAAAAGACATGAAAAAAAAAATTAATAGAAAGAAAAAAACTCTGACATCTGAACAACAAGCGTAAAAATCACTCGAATGAACAAGCGCAAATTGAACTACATTCACTGATTAAGCATTAAGGATTATTTATTAAATAAAAACAAGTTATTCCATTTAAATCCCAATACCCAAAATGTTTGTTTTGAAACCGAAACATGAAGAAAATTGAGAATTATTAACGAATTACCTATAAAAGAAAGAAAGAGAGAGAGAGAAATAAATGAAAATAAAAACAAAACATGTCAAACTTTATAATAAACATTTTATTAAGTCAACAAACAAAAATCCATAGGCTTTGTTAGATATATTTTAAGATTATATGAATCCCCGAAATTGTAAACACATTGAAAGAGGAAGAGAGGGAGAGAGAGAGAGAGAGAAAGAGAGAGGGAGAAAGAGAGAGGAAATTACTAAATAAATCACCCAAAACTAAAACTATAATATAAAATGTAGATGTTATTCATGTAAAGCTCTATTGTATTTCAAAACAAAAGAAAACAAAACAAAACAACCAGAATTAACAAGATTCAAACAAATATAGAATATATATATATATATATATATATATATGGATACATTTGACTATTTAAAATAAATTATTTATTGTGTCCCATCGTTGAAACATTTTTTGGATAACAAATTGAATATTAGAAGTCATGACTGTGTATATATAAAATTATATTGATTAATATTAATTGTAATTGTCCCAGAACAAAAAATCAAATTGAACTTAAATTCATTTAAAATATACATTCACATTTTCTCATCCAGAAAAACAATCAAAACCTTAAAAATATGAATCGAAATTTGAGACAAAAATAAAAATAAAAACTATGACTGTGTCTGTACGGCAGATTTGTTACATTTTCACACACACACACACACATAAAATGGCTAGAAAAAAGAAATACTCAACTGAAATTCAAAACTCATTCCGAAACGGAATGGGAACACTCGAATACATTGTGGTACATTGGACATTGGTCACATACACGTATGCAAAACGTTCAATCCGCATTCAAATGTGTGCACATTTTCGATTGTATGTGTCGCTCACAGTTTGTGTGCAGTGCAGTACAGTGCACTGTGTGCATGCATCGAGTTGATTTTTTGTTCGATTTTCGGCATCAAATTCCCATTCGTCGGTTCGAAACCGTCGGATAAATCGGGTATATATGTATATTTGGAATTGGTGAATAGCGAATGTGTTTGGGACCGTTTTCCCCGATTAAACAGATTTATTGCAGTCGTGCATTTGCAATCCATGAGAGGATATATTTATTGTTTCACTCGAGGAAAAATGTGTGTGTTCATTCCAGCGACAAGAGAGAATTAACGGTGTGAAATAAATGTAAACTTTTTTTTTCACCGAAAATCGCTCGCATAAGCGAAACTGAGCAGCAGCAGCATAAAAACAATGATGCAAATAATTCTATGTCCCGATTTTTACTGATCAACAACAAATATATGAAAAAAAAATTGTTCAGTTTTGTCTCGGAGACCAGATTTCGCCTTTGAAAAAAAAAAAATCGGCTATCGGCGACGCTTTGAATCGCACCCATTCCAAAATATGGACAGAGAGAAAAAATCAATCCCATTCATCCTCCCGAATTCAATATTCAATTGAGTGAATACAAATATCACTTATATTTACGTAAGTGTCGAAGGCGAAGCGCGTAAAAATCAATTCAACGCGCTGCAAGCTCTCGCAAAGCTGATTTAACCTGTAAATGCTCAAACAAACTATTCCCCTCATATATTCATACCATTTTTTTTCTTCTCTCCTTTGCTTCTATTTGATACGAAGTTATACACACACACACACACACACACACAATGAAAAGGTATGATTGATGGAAATTTTACCGAATGACTGAATAATCATGATGTGTATATACGTCATTCAATTTTATAAATATTTACCACTGGATTCTTTTTTTAAACCGAACAGATGAAAAATACATTGAATAGCCAATTTTGAAAACGAAACAGAGCAATTAATGGAAATTATTGCTAACAGAGAGATTATCATCACTTTTATTCAGAAACTCAAAACAAAAATGATCAATTGAAATCACACACAATTTTTTTTTGATTCATTCAAGTTTGTGATTAATGCATTTCATTTCAATATTGACTTTGTTTCGATCACAATATTTGAATGGAGTTTTAGTTTATCTAAAATTTATACTTGCTAAATAGTTGACGTTGATGTGAAAATTGGGATAATTTCATAATTGGTTTGATCAAAATTCCATACGTGGTGGTGTATATTCATCAAGCGAATCAGTGTGCATAATAGAACACGAATTGGATTGAAATCGAAAACTTTTAGTATTTTTAACATTGGAGGACACTCGTCAGTTTGAGTTGTTCAACCATCATTTCAAAATGTTCGGTTTCGGCGTCATTTTATGATTATGTGTGTCATTTTTAATCGACTTTATCATTTGATTTATATATCAAACTCAATTTCTTTTGAACAGTCATAGTTTTAATGAGCATAAATTATAATATCAAAAGGGGAGAAGGTGGGAGCAAGGAAATGGAAAAATAATTCATGTTTCGTCGATGGTATATATACGAAGCGAGGTAGCACAGAATTTTTTTTTTATCATATGAAATCAAAGCCATTTATTGAAAAGTTACATTCATTGAAAAAAAAAAAGAAAATTAAATCAAGTAATTCAATAAGCTATATATCTGTTGGTGAGAAGCGTGAAGTGGCCCATGTGTTACATTTTACGTTTAATTTTGATTAAATTTTCTCTTAATCATTTATAGAAGCATGTGCTTCGATTCGTTGGGAAAGAAAATGCACAAAATTCGAAACGAAAGTGTTGGATGAAAAAAAAAAACTTAGTGAAATTTAAGCCATTGCAATAGAAATGTATTGCAAACAAACAGCAAAAGCAACAACATAAAGTGCTCAATGTTTCATCGATAGATGTTGTGTAGTTAATTACAAAATCTAGTAAAAATTAATCTGAACGCAGGACAAAAAGAAACGAAGTGACAATTGATGACCAATTTTAACCCAAACAAAAAAATAAATAAACGAAAACACAACTTTTGCAGTTAAAATGTATGGTGTCGTTCATTGTCACACACCCACAACACATATAAATCTCACACAAAAATGAAGAATAAAACATTTGTTTTTTAAAATCATAAAATGTATGTAAAATGAGATATAGACTATGTATACATACACCGAATACAAAACACAAAGAAAAACACATGTACGGTCCACACACACACTCATATGCTATAAATAGACGATGTTAATGCACACACCGTTTAAAATTATAGGGATATTTTATTGCAGCCAAGAATTAAATAAATGTTCAGAACAAATGTTTTCGATTTAAACAAACAACAAGAACAACAGAAGCACACACTCACAATTCATATACACATACAAACAGCGCATCACTCACTCAATATCGCCGCAATCCAATGAATGGTTGGAATGCAAAGCGAAAATACAGCAGCTGTCGAATCCTGATAGAAATGCCAGTAAAGAATGAAAAAGGAAAAAAAATGCGTAGAATTATAAACGTGATATTGATGGGAATTCAGAATCGCCTAAAATAATTCCGCATAGCATTCACAAAATTTGACCTGCTTTCTTTGTTATCTTTTCGTTCATTCGTCAAAAATGTCATAATTCCATTTTTGATTCGCATCAAAATGCCGTGCCCAAGTACTGACGGTAAAATTGTTGACAATTCAATTGTTGTTGCGTCTCATTTTCGGCGTGTTGATTATGTTTATAATGTAATCGATCGAAGAGCGCGAGAATACCGGCACACCAGCGATACCTTTTGTTAAAGCATATTATTATTGTATCGCGTGTGAAATAGCACTGACTGTCCAAAACTTAATTTTTGATATCTAAATTATTTTATCGTGGTGAAAATTAATAGAATAACAATATTTTTTTATATTCCCTTTGTTGTTTCGCTGTCATGACAATGACGATTTATTTCGAGGGAATTCCTGTCACAATCGCTAAACTTTTCCACCAGCAGAAAATTGATGGTGCCGATTATCGAACGTTTGACACGCAACACCAATTCAAAAGACAATTGAAACAGATGAATTGGGGTCATATCATTCACAAATCCATTTACCTGTCAATCAAACACTCGCATGTAGGGAGAAAAAAAAACACATCAAGTCCATATTCAATTATGAACGTTTTTTATCGTTGCCCCCATTCGCATTCAGCTTCCTTATGGATCAGAGACGGAAAGATGTTTGCCAAAGTTGTTTTTTTTCTCTATCGCCGCATGCGGAAAATTTCTTTTCTGCATTCACCCGATTGAGATGATTAGCTTCCAGTTCAGTGGGCCAATCGAAACTAATCCAAAAATATAAGCCAAATTTCAGCGAAGAAAACACACATGCTCGCTCTCATTGTTATGATGTAGATTCGCCGCACATCCATCGAAACCTCGAATCGAACCAATTCAATGCTGTTCAAACGCAAATATGCGGCAAATATCCTTTCCGTCTCTGCTGCATACGGATCTATAGACAAAACAATCAATTTACGCAATAAACAATCGAAACATTCAGGAGAATGAGAGTGATATAGACAGAGAGTGGAGAAAAAGTGAGAGCATCGAGAGAGATGCGACGCATGAGAGTAGAACAAAACGAATAATTTATTCATCAATAAATTACGGTATTCATCGAATTGGGATTAATTATCGAAAATGTCAATGTGTGTTGCATGGCGGTGGCATGAGAAAGAGAGAGAGAGAGAGAGAGAGAGAGAGAGAGAGACACTGACAACAACACTCAAAACATTGAATGACAAATCATCGAAATCGTATTATATTCCTGGATAAAATAGTTATTAAAAAGCAGTTAATTACAGAAGTTGCCAATGCAGAATTAAGCGTAAGCATATTGCTTGTGTGTAAATGATGCGACCAAGCGAAAAAGGGAGAGATTGAAATGAGAACATTTAAGAAAATGATGAAAAAAGAGGCGAAAAATGAAGAGCAAGAGGTGATGATCCGCATCGCACTGCAAATGAAGCCAATGGTGCTTCATTAGCGGATACTGAATGCGGGGCCAAAATTTACAG